GCTGGGTGCGGTGGCTCATGCCTGTAATCCTAGCACTCTGGGAGGCTGAAGAGGGAGGACCATTTGAGCTCAGGAGCTTGAGACCAGCCTGAGCAAGAGCGAGACCCCCGTCTCTTCTAAAAATAGAAGGAAATTAGCTGGACAACTAAACAAATATATAGAAAAAATTAGCCAGGCATGGTGGCACGTGCCTGTAGTCCCAGCTACCTGGGAGGCTGAGGCAGGAGGATCGCTTGAGCCCAGGAGTTGGAGGTTGCTGTGAGCTAGGATGACGCCAGGGCACTCACTCTAGCCCAGGCAACAAAGCAAGACTCTGCCTCAAAAAAAGAAAAAAAGAATCAGTAACTTCCACAATTGTTCTGATTTTGCAATAGCTCACGTGCCACATAAAATCCATTGTTTAAAACTTACAACACTCCAACGCCTCCTGAAATACCACCCATCTGTGTTTTATATTTATTTTCAATAATCTGAGATATGAACACCCAGTTCTGGGTGAGGGGTGGTGGTGGGGATGGAGATGGTGCTTCCTGTTTGATTGTTTCAGTGCACGCTGGGCCGGTGCTGCAGGAAAAAAACAAAATTCCAAGAAAGGATTGTGGAGGCTGGTTTTCGTGTGACTAGTGCCTGCCGGGTAGGGCCAGCCTCTCTTGAATCTAATCACAAGTGGGTGAAAGGATATTAGAAACCCACAGAACTGACTGGGGGAAGGGTGTCTTGCCTGCCTTCTCCATCTCCGTATCCCTCGACCCGAATGATTGTTAGTCTTGCAGCGGAGCTAACAAACATTGACTACTGCAGAGAGAACAGTCCAGAAACAATTATTTATTGAACGCTCTCAAGTATCTTCCTCGGTGCGGGGTGTTTTTTCATTTATTAACTATTTAATCTTCACCACAACCGTGAGAGACAGTCATTCGTATCGCTATTTTATAGATAAGGAGACAGACACTCATTTGGAGGGGAGAAGAGGAAGGGTGGAGTTCAGAAAGTGCGTTCGATGCTCTTACCCCGGAGGCTGGAGCTGGGAATTCACCTCCCTGGAGAACAGCTTTTGGGAATCCCATTTGAAATTGCCGCTTAAGGCCAGCTCCGCATCCAACCTAGGAAATGGAAGTAGGATTTTGGAGAATCCCCTTAGGGGGAAATGTTTAAAAGTGCAAAGTGAACAGTAGGAAGGCCACTCGCCGGTCACTAGGGGTACACTGGCTGTAGGCTTATCGACAGACCCCTTCCAGTAAAAGCGCCTGGGACTACGAGTAGTCCCGCGCTTGGGCCGCCCCCACTTCCTCTCAGGGACTGAGGCGGGGCGCCTGCGAGAGTGACTGTGAGGGCGGTCCCCAACTGATGGCAGTGTGCGAGAAGTCGGAGCTTTTGTCTTCTTCCCCACTGCTGCAGAACACGAGGCAGTGGCGTGTCCCAGCCTGGTCGCACGCTACCCAGGGCAGGCGCTGGCAAAGAGCCCTCTCTCCAAGCAGGATTAAAAGAGAATCAAGGGGCCGGCAGCGGGGCCATAGGAGCTCCTGGGCTAGGCCGGGGCCCCGGGGCTCTGGAAACTACAATGTGGCGGGCCCACTGCTCGTCCGCCGAGGTCTTGGAGCTTCGTGAAAGCCCCGGCGGGCGCTTCCCCCTCTGGAGGCGCTTCCTCTTTGTAACTCGAACAGGCCGTGGCGGGCCAGTTGCTATGGCAACCCTCCTCTCCTGGCACTGTGAGGCAGGGAGGGAGGCGGGCCTTGGCGGACGTCACCCAGACTCGCTTTGGGGGTGCCGCCCCAGCGCCAGCGAATTGTTTGCCGGAAAGGAACCCGTGAGATAGATGCTTTGTAAGTGAGGGACTCCAGGGGGCCGCACTAGCACAGAAGGAGGGATCAGGCTCTCTCCCCAAGAACCTCCCCCGAAGTCCTTTCCTGCCAACGATCTTAACGGTCCTTCAAAGCAGGGAGGAGGGGGCGTTGTAATTTGAGCGATTTGGTCCGACGGGCCACGCCCTTTCCTCGCCCTTTGGTATTTCCAGGGCCACGCCCACGGGGGCGGGCCTAGTTCTAGGCCACGCCCCTTACGTGGGCGAGCGGAAGGAGAAGCGCAATGGAGGAGGAGTAAGTATCGTGTTTGAACTGAGGCAGCGCAACTAATCGCGCGAAAAAGGCCTAGGGCGGGCCGTCTTCCGCATGCGTCCTTCGAGGCCGCCCCGCCCCACCTTTTTCGCGGCGCCGTCTTGGTTTTGCGCCTGCGCGCTGCTCCCTGGGAGCTCCCGGGCTGAGCGAACACGCACAGAGTTACCGGGGCGCGCAAAGAGGGAGGAGCAGGCATGAGCAGGCGCGCGCGCGTCTGGAGTAACTCTGGAGAGCAGGCGAGTCGGGAGGATCGGGTGGGTAGAGTGGTGCAGCCAGGTTGCTTGTGGGCGGTACGTAAGGCCGCTCTGGGCACGGAGGCGCCCATCTCACTGGCTCGCTCGGTTCTAGGAGCGGATCCGGGGCAGAGGGAGGAGAGCTCCG